CTACCAAATTTCCCTATCCATCCTTGATTACTGTGATGTAAATATTGGGTAGCAGATCATGTAACATGTAAACATTTTAGCATGTATCACTAAAGTAAGGATTTTTCTATTAAATCATAACCATTGCATTGCACTATTTATCTCACTTAAACATTTAAAGTAATTCTTCAGTATCATTAGATATCTAGTCAGTGCTCAAAAGTTTTTAAATGTTTCACTAGTGCTTTGAAACAAAGGTTTATGTGTTTGAGTCAGGACTGAATTAAGATCTGTATGTTGGAACTGGGTGACTGGTCTTTAACTCTCTTTTAATATGCAGGTTCTCTTCCCTCTCTCCCCAACTATTTTTTTTTTTGTCATTGCTATTTATTTGTTAAAAAAAACACCAGCCATTTGTCCTACAGTTTCCCACAGTCTAGATTTTGCTGACAGTATCCCCATGGTGGTGTTCAACATGTTCCTCTATTCTCTTTTTCTCTTGTAAATTGATATCTAGATCTAGAGGTCTGAACAGTTTCAGTTTGATTTTTTTTTTTTTTTTTTTAAGATACAGTCTCCCTCTGTTGCCTAGGCTAGAGTGCAGTGGCGTGATCTTGGCTCACTGCAACCTCCATCTCCCTGGTTCAAGCAATTCTCCTGCCTCAGACTCTGGAGTAGCTGGGATTACAGGTGCTAACCACCACACCTGGCTATTTTTTACATTTTTAGTAGAGACGGGTTTCACTATGTTGGCCATGATTGGCCAGGCTGGTCTTGAACTCCTAACCTCAGATGATCCACTCGCCTTGGCCTCCCAAAGTGCTGGGATTACAAGCCTGAGCCACTGCGCCCGACTATTCGGTTTGATTTTTTTGGGCCAGAAGACATCATAAGTTGTCACAAACTTTTACCTAATGTCTGATTGTCTGTTCTTTGGTGACATTAGCAGCCATTTCTGATTATTACTTAAATCTGTTATCACATCGGGGTTGCAAAAAGGATGATACTCTAATTCTTATTCCTGCTTTGTTTATTAGCTGGAACATTTCTATAAAGAGAAACTTCCCCCTGTTACCTATTTGAAAAGATAGGATACCTGCTTGGATCTTTCTCTTTTTTAGTTTTCATCCTCCAAAGTGACTAATGATATTTTTATTTTAAATATCATTAGGATTCATTCTAGGATCCTCCAAAGGTGATCAATTAATTTTTTGTTTTTTTTAGAATCATAAATTCTTGGGTATAACACATCCCACTGGATATCCTATTGAAATACGTTCAAGTCTACCATTTGAAAACAAAACAAGCCCCTCACTGGATCTCTCCTGCCTTCTTCCTGGCCAGCCTTCGCAGTATCACCTGTACCAACGCCCTCTACTTCCTGACCTCTAACTCACTCTTTAGCTCTCTTTTAACTGGAGTGTGGCCCCACCACTCCGCGAAAGCAGCTCCTGCTAAGGTCATTAGTGACAGTTATTTTGCTAAGACCAAAGGTGACTTTTCAGGTTTCACCTCACCTAACCTTTCAGCACTGCTGACCACTTCTTTTCTTCTTGAAGCACTCTTTTCCCTTGCTCCCGTGACACTGTAATGCCCTGTTTTTTCTCCTGCTTCTCTGGCTACACTTCTTTTGTTGGTTTTCAATCTTAACTTCTTACTCAACTATGAAATCTCAGCAGTTTTAAGGTTCAGTCTCAGAATATTAATCTTCTCCACTATACTCTCTGTCAAAATGATCTCATCCACACCCAATCATGTACACAAAAATGTCTCACAACAAATTTACCTCTTTACCTTTGATCTCTGTCTCTGAAATCTAAACTTTATATCCACTGCCTACTACATAATAGCTCCCTTTGAATGTCTCAGAATAATTCTACTTATTGTATACAAAGATAAAGTCAGAATCTATGAAAAAACATCATCCTCTTCTAGCAAATGCCAGCATTTACCATTCAGAAGCACAAACTCAATGTCATCTCTGACAACTCCATGTATCTCAGCTGCCATACCCCCATCTATCACCAAGTCCTGGTGATTTATTTCCCAAATATATTTCAAATATGACTCCTTTCCACTTAAACTAGCACTACAAACTTAATCCAAGCTACTGATCCTCTCACCAGGACCACCAAAAGAGCCTGCTCTTTGGGTTCCTCTGATCTACTTGGTTTTTTCTCCAGACGTTCTTTACAGTGTAACCAATGCAGACATAATCATGCAAAATCCTGGTTAAAATTCTTCAACAGTTTACCATGGCTCTTAGGATAAACTCCTAACATGGCTATGCTTCACCTAGAATCTTGCTCTCCTGGAGGACCAGCCTTCACTCATTGTCTACGTTTTTTATGCTAAAGGACTTTTGCACATGATCTCTCTGAAATGTTCTTCCTTCCTTCTTACACTCATCCTTCAGATAGGCACTCAAAAGTTACTTGCTAAGGGAAGCCTTCCCCTGACGCCCCCAATCAGATCATATCCCAGGATCACAGCCTAACCCAGCATCTTGCATATAGCCTTCATAGACTTGTCATAGCTGCAGTTTCACATTTCTGCATGTGATTATTTGGTTAATGCTGATTTTCTCCACTAGGTAGCTTTCATGAAATCAAAAACTGTGGTTCCTTTGTATTCTCAGTGACTGCCATATGTTAGGTATTCATTTAGTATATGCTGGATGAATGAATAAATGCTCCAATTTCTTGAAATTAGCATAGTTTAGCACGCTTAGACATGTACTCGCTGAACGTACTTTACATAAAGTACTCTATATAAGGTGCACATAACAGTGCCTGTACCTTGATAAGAATATTACACTAATATTGTAAAGATATCATAAAGTTTAGCTGTTACTATTATTACTGATTTCACACCCTATGACAGAAACTATTTTCTGATTACCACTGATTGTATTCCCAATTACTGTGCTTAACTCTATTTAAAAGCTGGACAAAAACCACCTTCTTATTTTCTGTTTTCTTTGCAACTACGGCCATGAGACATACTTCTGGTCACTGAAATGTAAGTTTTCTGGGAGGATCCTAAAAACCTACTGATGTCCTAAAACAAAACAAAACAACAACAACAACAAAAACAAACAGAGGGGCAGTGGGGAAAGCTATGGCAGTCCCGTCTCCTTTTTACCTCATGTGAATAGGAATGTGATGCCTGGAGCTGCAGCAGCAATCTTATAACTCTGAGGGAAAGGCCAGTGAAATGGCAGAGCCACTGAAACACCAGAAGCAGCTACCCACCTCCAGCCTTCTCCTTATATGACAAAAATAAACCCTTCTTTTACTTGTATCTACAAACAATCTTGATATTCCGCTCAGTAACAAGATTCCCTTCCAGGTAAATCCCCTTATATTGACCAATACTTTTTTTCTTTTTTTCTCTTTTTTTTTCTTCACTAAATATCTCTGTTACTTTCCTTAATACTGTAACCAAAATAAAATACCTGGTTTGTTTCTCTTATAAAATAGAAAATGAATTACAGCCTTAAGAACTAAAGAAAGACTCTTTAAATTTCTTATTTTGAGTTAAACATATATGGGGATCAGAATAACACCTATTTGGTGACACGGCATCAAACAGAATTCAGGGTACTTTGTTCATTCTCAGATGGAAAATGAAGTTTTAAAGCATTTTAGTGTCTACTCAAGAATATCAATATTAGCATGTGATATATTCTGATTTGATTCCATAGTCAAATATTATATAAATATGTAGCTGGACAACAACTCAGACACTCTATACACAGAGATTGACTATGCACAGAGACTGTATTTACTTTTTAGAAATGTACATGTAAGACATATACACAATGCTTTAAGAACTGATAAATCAGAAGGTGTTAAACAGATTAAACTGTGAATTCTCCTTAGTGAAACCAGGATGTTTCACTCATATTCGTAACACGGCATAAAATTTAGGTTCACACATTGAGGGTAAGACTTAGTTGCATGTAATGTTCGTAGAGTAAAAAGGGATATCAACAAAATGATCTCGGTCCAATGCCTTTTGCAGTTTGTCTCAGGTCTGCACCTAAAATGGGAAGGATGGACTAGTTTTCAGACTGTGCTCTACAAAGCCTAACAGCCAAGTCTCCAAGCCTTCTACCCCTGGAAGACAGAGCAGATCTGTTTTTATCTGTTTAAATATTTATTTTCTATAAAAGGTTTTCTTCAAAATAATAACTCAGCTGGGTGTGGTGGCTCATGCCTGTAATCCCAGCACTTTGGGAGGCCAAGGCGGGCGGCTCACTTGAGGTCAGGAGTTCGAGACTAGCCTGGCCAACTGGCGAAACACTGTCCCTACTAAAAATACAAAAATTAGCCGGGCGTGGTGGCGGGTGCCTGTAATCCCAGCTGCTCGGGACGCTGAGGCAGGAGAATAGCTTGAACTGGGGAGGTGAAGCTTGCAGTGAACCGAGATAGTGCCACTGCACTCTGGCCTAGGCAACAAGAGCCAAACTCCATCTCAAAAAAAAAAAAAAAAATAATAATAATAATAATAAATAAAATAAAATAAAATAAAAAAGAACTCAATAACTAAAAATAATTTGGAAACTACTGGACAAAATTAACTCCTAAGTTCTTTCTAGTATTATCAGTCATGATAAAAATAGTTTGTTTTTTTTTTTTTTTTTTTTTTTTTGAGACAGGGTCTCACTCTGTTGCCCAGGCTGGAGTGCAATGGTGGGACCTTGGCTCACTGTTGCCTTAACCTCCCCAGCCTCAGGTGATCCTCCCACCTCAGGTTCCTGGCTAATCTTTTGATTTTTTGTCAAGATGGGGTTTTTCCATGTTGCCCAGGCTGCTCTCAAACTCCTAGACTCAAGTGATCCTCTTGCCTTGGTCTCCAAAGTGCTGGGATCACAGGTGTGGGCCACCGTGCCTGACCTTTCCTAAATGCTGAATGCTTTAAGAGCATCTAAATATGTACACAAAAGGAAAATTCATGTGATAATGTGGGCTTGACTTATTTTCAAGAATATATTCAAACTGAATTAACGTACTTACCTTGTGAAAATGCCATCCACAATCCCAATTGTCGCTTCTTCTGCAGGAACATAGGAGCCAATCTGAGCCATGATGGTAATCAATGCAACTTGTTTTATGTAGGAGCTCTTTCCACCCATGTTTGGTCCAGTAATTATCATTACTCTCTCTGAGTCCTCCTAAAAATTAGAAAGGAATTTCACTTATTGTACCAGAAACGTTTTTAGATAATATCCACAATTGTCTCATAAATGGAAAGGCATTAGGCAAAACATTACTTTGCAGCATAAATATCACAAAAGGAAAGCGGTCCTCCAGAATCCAGGATCCTCCCAGAACACTTACATTTCACTGACCAGAACTGTGTCTCATGGCCATAGTTGCAAAGAAAACAGAAAATAGAAGGTGGTTTTTGTCCAGCTTTTAAATAGAGTCTTTCAACCTGAACTGTGTGATATTGCAGAAAAATAAATTCTTAGCAGTACACACAGCTGTTCCTGGGTATTAAAAAGGAAATAAGACCAGAAGTGGATAACTGCTATGGCTTTCTCAGTAAGCATTTTTTAATCTGCCTATGTGCATGTTCTACCTATTGCTTACGTTTAAAGTCTATCAATTTTCATTTGTCCATCTTAAAACAACAGGTATTACACATCTAATTGCCCACGGCCCTATTTGGGGTTGGCAGCACATATAATTTTTGGCAGCAATTTTTCAGTTACAGGTAGATGACTATTAAAAGATATTTATAACATCAAATTCTAGACATTGGTTTATCAGCATTTAATTATTTACTAGCATTCACCAGAGCACGTGGAGGAGGCAGAACTATAACTCTTGCAACAACTTAATTTTCTAGAACTTCTCTGTATTGATCAATTATAGTATTTTCCAGGTACACATCCCGCTAAGGGAAATTGTCCAAATACAGCCCTTGGCAGAGGAGTTAGCCCAGGGCATCCATGCTCTGTGCTATGTGAATCCCACCCTTTGGCAATAGCTGCCTGGTCAAGAGTAGCCAAGCCGGTCAAGCATGGTGGCTCACACCTGTAATCTCAGCACTTTGGGAGGCCAAGGAGGTGGATCGCTTGAGGCCAGGAGTTTGAGACCAGGCTGGCCAACATGGCAAAACCCCAACTGTACAAAAATTAGCTGAGTGTGACGATGCCAGTTACTCAGGAGGCTGAGACACAAGAATCGCTTGAATCCAGGAGGTAGAGGTTGCAGTGAGTCAAGATAACGCCACTGCATTCCAGCACGGGTGAAAGTGAGACTCCATCTCAAAAAAAAAAAAAAAAAAAAAAAAAAAAAAGCCAGAACCAGCCAATGGGCCTAGCACAAAAGCTTCTCAAACTAGGCCAATCAAATAATCTTTTGGGAGTTAACCGAGAATCAGAGAGGTTCAGTTACCTGGTAACTTGAAGAGAGGCTAAAAAGAATCACAGAAATAGGCCACAAGGCACCGGGGATCATGAGTAAGTAGTTATGAGAAAATAAAAGGTATGATGAAAAATTATTTAGACTAGGAGTAAAGAGGATAGTTAGTAATGAAAGGAAGGAAAGATAAAAGCCAAAATGAAGTGAGAAACTTCACATAAACAACTGGGTATCAAAGTAAAGCCTTATAAAGTGTTGCTAATGGGGGATAAAAAGAAAACCTGTTCCATCCCTAAAGCTGTATCGTATTCTAATTCGCTACACATTTCCAGTCTCCCTAATGCCAAACTGTGCTAGAGATCTTTCTCGTCCTGTGTAATTCCTTTTTCTTATGGCACCATATGGCTTTATATTGCACCTAATACATCTCCATTACTTGAAGGAACTTGAGTATATCTGTTTCTTGTGACAGAAAGAGCTTAACACAGTAAGAACCTGGAAAGTAGTTTCATATAAGCAGAATGATAAAACTAATGATAAAAATAAAATGAATTTTACAGAGAGTAAAAAATAAGCATGTCATAAAACAATGATAATACTAATGATAAAAACAAAATGAATTCTACAGAGATTAAAAAATAAGCCTGTCATAAAATAATCAAATATTGACATGATCAAATATTTTATATCTCTTTAATCTCTTTTTTAATATGTCTTTATCTCCTTTTTTAAAAATCACAAAATGACACAAGAAATAGAAAACCTAACAATCCTATATTTATTAATTTTGTAAAAGCCCACAAGAAAAACTCTAAATGCAGAGAACACCCCTACTGAATTCTTGCAAACATTTAAGAAAGAAATAGCACCAATATTACAAAACTTCTTCTAGTGAACAAGAATTTTTCCCAAATAATTTCAGATTTGGATATCAAGAACATTGATATCCAAACCTGATAAGAACATTACAAGAAAAATTACAGACCAATTTCACCCATAAATATACATGCAAAACTTCTTAACAAACTATTAATAAGTCAATCTAAGGTTATATAAACCACTTAGAGCTTTCGAGAAATACAAAGTTGGTTTAATATTCAAAGGCCAATCAATGTAATTCACCACATTAACAGAATAAAGAAACCATACAATTATCTCCAATAACACAGAGAAAGCATTTGAAAAAATTCAACATTCACTTGTGAAAAAAATGAGGCCGGATGCGGTGGCTCACGCCTTTAAACCCAGCACTTTGGGAGGCTGAGGCGGGTGGATCATGAGGTCAGGAGATTGAGACCATCCTGGCTAACACGGTGAAACCCCGTCTCTACTAAAAATACAAAAATTAGCTGGGCATGGTGGTGGGCGCCTGTAGTCCCAGCTACTCGGGAGGCTGAGGCAGGAGAATGGCGTGAATCCAGGAGGCAGAGCTTACAGTGAGCTGAGATCGCGCCACTGCACTCCAGCCTGGGTGACAGCAAGACTCCATCTCAAAAAAAAAAAAAAGAAAAGAAAAAAATGCGCAGGAAAGGGAAATAAAAATAAAAGGTATAAGGATTAGAAAGCAAATAATAAAACTCATTATTCCTATACGTCATGATTGTGCTCCCAGAAAATCCAAGGAAATCTTTAAAAACTGAACTTTAGATACAAGTTCAGTATTCAAAAACCAACTTTTCCCCTATATTTTAGCAACAAATACAGGTTGAATATCACTTATCCAAAACACTTGGGGACAGAAGTGTTTCCAATTTCAATTTTTTGGATCTTGAAATATTTGCATTCTAAATAAAATCTAAAATGCTCTGAAATCCAAAGCTTTTTGAGCAACAATATGATGCTCAAAGAAAATGCTCATTGGAGCATTTCAGATTTTAGATTTTCAGATTAGGAATGCTCAACCTGTAATTCAAAATAAAACATTTTTAATGATACAATTTACCATAGTATCAAACGAAATCAAATACCTAGGAATAAATCTAACAAAATGAGCAAGACTCTACACAGAAAACTACACAACATTATCGAAAGAAATTAAAGAAGACCTAATTAAGTGAAGGAATATACCATGTTCATGAACTGGATGACTCAATATTATAATGCTATAGTAATTATAGAAGTGTGATTTGGCACAATAATATACATATATAACCAGTGGAACGGAAAGCACAGAAACAGACTGACATGTATACAGTTCCTTGATTTATGACAAAGGTGACATTGCAGCACAGTAGACAAAGGACAGTCTTTTCAACACAGTGTGCTGGGAAGATATGGAGAGCAATTTGGAAATGCCTAGTAAAGTTAAAGATCGTGTACATTGGTCTAGATGACCCAGCAATTCCTCTTTTAAATATCTATCCAAGAAACATACAAGTGCTCAAAAAGGCATGTATAAAACTGTTCACTGTAGTACTGTTTGTATGTATTCATAACTGACAAAAATAGAGATAATCTAATTGTCTATTGTTAGGAAAATAAATAGATCTACTTGTACAATTATTAAAACAATTATTTACAATGCAGAATACTAGGGCTCAGTGAGACATTAATGTATATTTTTTAAAATACACAAAAGATGATTATATGCTGCTAGTATATATATATATATGTCAAACAAAAGAATAAAAACCATGCATAAGGATAATAAATAACATCAGGATAATGGTTACCATGTAGGTTAAGAGGTGAAGATGGAGAAAAAGGAATAGCAGTTATTTATGTATGACCTTAGCTGTATCTGTAATTTTTTATTTACTTAAAAAAACTCCTAAATATTACAAAACGTCAATCTCTATGACATTTGTGTGATGGGTAAATGGGTGTCTGTTATACTGTTTTCTATACTTTTTCATTGGCTGAAATCATTAAAAATCAAACAAATTTTCTTAGTTATTTCATGGATCACCATCACGAACAATTCAATAACTCCTTACAAACATATTTATGTAATTTACGAATAATTCACATAACTTCCAAATGACATTTTGTTACTTGGACTTCAGAACACTACATACAAATAAAGCAAGAGAGAAAAGTACAAAATGGAAAGTGAAAGAATGCAATGCCAGAGAGAATGTAATGTAAGAATGTAATGCCAGAGAGAATACCATACAGAAGGGTTACGTATGTCATGCCAAGGCTCCCTGAACTGTGACAGCATTGTTAAAGGAGCTGTCTCAAACAGGATTACCAAATTCAACAAGCACATGAGAGTGACCAATGGAAATGCAGAAATAGAAATGTTTTTAAATGGTAGTTTAGAAAAGATATGAGAAAAAAAGAAAAAATACACACTTTTTATTTTGTAGAAAACTTAAGCCTTCCAATACCTTGAAAGATAAGAGATTTATACTTACTGTTCAATTTGGCTTTTTCATGCAGTGAGAATCAGTAACTTGACAGTGTGTTATTTAAAAGTATTAATTTGGTCAACTAAAATAACTTAATAAATCAGATTTCTAGTGGTAAAGCATATTATAATACCGTTTAGAGTTAGAAGACTGAGGTTCCATTTCTGGCTTAGCCATTGGTTAGATACATTTCATTTCTCATCTGTAAGATTTAATAATAATAGAAATCCTAGCCTTATGTGCATTTTGTAAAGTTTAAAACAATTAAGAAAATATATATGAAATTCCTTTGAAACTATAAATGCTCTAATCATTTTTATAAATCATAAATTCTTAAAAATAAAAGATGCCCAAAGTAGCCACATGAAGTCCCAATGCCCTATAAATGAATTAACTGAAAAAGAAGAAATGAACTAAAACAAATGAAAATACATTTGGCTTGGGCCAAA